AAACAATAATAATATGTGAGGACAAAATATGAAAAAATGTTAAATTACAAGGATGAAAATCATATCTAAACCTATATATTATATTAGTACTTGCCATACACATGTGCACACACATATACATGATTTTTTTAAATATAAAATATAATAAAATTTAATTTTTACACATATGTGTTGGTGGGTCTTTTAATGGAAGGTAAGGTTGAGATTGATTATTTACATTCTCACCTAAAGAAGTTATTCTCAAAAGATATGTCTCACATACATACCTTAATTATGCTACATTTTAAGAGTCAGCACATTTAAAACACTAGTATTTTAGCACGTGCAATGCATATGTTAAATATTTATTACATATTACTAAATTTTATAATAAATTATATATACAAATAAATAATATATTTAAATATATAAAATTTAAAATTTGTATAAATAGATATTTTAAAAAATATAAATTATATTTTAGAATTATGATAAATAATTAGTATTTTAGCACGTGCAATGCATATGTTAAATATTTATTACATATTACTAAATTTTATAATAAATTATATATACAAATAAATAATATATTTAAATATATAAAATTTAAAATTTGTATAAATAGATATTTAAAAAAATATAAATTATATTTTAGAATTATAACACTATTTTTTTTATTTGCTGATAATTTATTTTAAAAATATTAAAATTTAATTCATAAATAATCATGATAAATAAAAATTGAATTAGATAAAAAAAAAATTAAAAAGTTCTTTAAATCTCTCATCAAATAAAACTATCTAAAAATACTCATATAAAATAGAAATTCATGTTTTAATATATAATGATTCGATTATTCATTTTGTCATTTATACAAGTCTTGTGATTTTGATTTTAAATTTTTTTTGTGAGTTATAAAGGAGAAAGAAATTTATAAACCATTATAATGTGAAGTTTTTTAATGTATAAGAACATACATTAAGTTATTTTTATAAGTTATTTTTTTAGAATTTATAAAAACAAGTTGATAATAACTTTTAGGCATATTGTAAAAAAAATAATCACTTATATAAGTGCTTATATTATAAAATAATATTGAATAAATTATAATTATTTTTTAAAACATATCCTTGATGTAATTAGCATTTACTATCTTTTAAAAATGTTAAGGGTTGAACATACAAGAGACATCCACATTTGATTTTAATATGAATAATGAAGATGAGGCATATAGGAACATGGCGACTAATATAAAAATCGGTGTTATCATAGTGCTGTGCTTGCACTTGGAAGCTGAAACCATACTTGATCCTTGAAATAAGTTATAATTTTTTGAAGTTTTAATATTCAAAACTTGGTTTTGATTCAATAGCTTGCGAAAAAAAAAATTGTAAATTGTGAAGTAATGAGTTGTATTTTCTATTTAATGGGTATGTCAAAATGTTTAAGAAAATGATAATTGTATGATTTAATTCAAAGGGAGCTACTGGAGTATTAACCTAATCTTAGTTTGGTTAAAGGAAAGTCATTAATGGGTTATTGTGGATGTAAGTCTATATTTTTTTTTCTTTGTACTTATATTTATTTATTCATTTATTTATTTCTGTTTAATTTTTTGTTTTGTATTTTTACTTTGAAATAATGTAGAAATATATTCTATATATGAGACTGAAAAATATGTCACAAGAATATTAATCGTCAATCAGATACTCTTTTTTTTTTTGTTTTTAAGAGCAAATTTTTTTTTTTAGCATGTTATTCACAACTTAATCTCTTCTAATATTCTATTAGAAGTCTTCAAAGAGGTTGGAGTCTGACTGTATATGAAATTGTACTTATTTCTAATCTAATTCTTTTTACAATATCCTAAGAATAATCAACATAAATTTTCAAATCTTACTTTAATGATTTGTGATATTCTTATTTTTTAAAATTAAATTTTGTAAATATAATAAATTAAATGATACCATTAAAGTCTATTGTGATTCCTCTCGCATCTAATAATAAATGTGTATTTAAATTATATTTTTATTAAATACTTTGCTAATTAATATAATTTACTTTAAAAAAATTATCTAAGATGTTTTTGGATAGGAAAAAGTTTACTAATTTTTTATTTATACTTCTGATCCTAATTATAAGTAATAAATTAGTTTAGAGTTAATTTATTTTTATATCTTTTATTTATTATTGTTAACTTTATTCTTTGTGTATTCACTTATAATGAATATTAAATATGAAAAGAAAATAATATTTTTAGAATAAAACTTGAATTTATGTAGACTATAGTTATAATAATTATTTGTTTTTTAGTATTGATGATTTTCTATCTGACTTATAATTAAAATTAAAGGTGTAAAAATATGTGGTTGAGAAATTAAAGATAATCAATCAGATTCTGTGATAAAAATTAATCATCGACAAAACTGATAAATACTTTATACCAATAATATGATTAAAAATTTAATTTAAAAATATATATATATATATATAGAGAGAGAGAGAGAGAATTTCGTTTACTTTAAAAATAAGTCTATCTAAACTTAGTTTATTTAATAACTTATGTTCTATATCAAATTTCAACGATCCAATCGTTAATTTAAAATTCTTAATATATATATCAAGTATGCAAATTTTTAAAAAATTTAAAAATCATTTGATACTTCATATACATTGATTTTATGTATATTGAATCAATGTATATGAAGTATCAAATGATTTTCAAATTTTTTAAAAATTTACAGACTTAATTTATGTATTAATAACTTTAAATTCAACTGATGTTAAAATTTAACGTAAAATATGAATTATTTAATGAAATAAGTTTAGATAAATTTATTCTTAAAAATAAATACTTTATATATATATATATTAATTAATTAATAGTTCGTTTTTATTATTCATGCGCCACAACTTGACCTATTAGTTTGGTGACTATGTAAAACGAATTCATATTATAAAAATGTCGGATCATTTATTTCACAATCTAACTTACACGAGCCTATTTAAATTGTGGAATCATTGCAAAGTGAAACTTAAAGAATAGACCGGTGAATATACTCACCTCTTATACTAAATATGCTAAATGTTGATCAATATTTATATTTATATTATTAATAAAATAGATTACTGTGTTTATATTTTTAAGAATAATTTTTTCTTTATTTTTTTTCAAAGTTATTACTGATTTTTTTTTTTATAAAAACCGCTCATATAACTACTATTCAAAATTTCACGTCGTTTATTATTAATCACTTTTTTTTTTATTTTATTCTTTAAAAAATACGTGGAATCACAATTTTTTTTATTATGTTAGTTAATAATAAAATAGATATTCTCTTTTTAGTGCACACATGTTTTAGATTATTCTATTCTAATCGTAGATCTAGAATCTTAAATTAGTGGGAGCATTACATGTAGTGTGTTCAAATGTATAAAATTAAGGATAAAATATTAAGAATATAAGATATTTAGTTATAATGTGTAAAAATTAAGAATACGGGTTCAAATACAAAAATCAGATATTTAATATTTTCAAATTGGGAGGCAATTTTAAAATTAAAATTCATTGAATAAATATATAAAACATAACTATTAAATATTTTAATAATACAATAGAAATTTTATTGACATAAAAAGATGAACTAAACATAAATGTTAATAGTTAATTTCACATGTCATTGGTAGCCATCATGATTTTATGATAAAAATTAGTATATATATATATTAATCATAAGTTTTACAAAAGTCGTATTAATTATGCTATAAAAAAATATTTAAAAAAATGAATTATGTTATCCATCATCATACTATCTATACAACAATAAAAATTAACTATAAGAATTTGCTTTCAAATTACTATATAAAGCAGTGAACCAAATCGTGGTTCGACTTGTATTATATGTTATATTTCAAAAAAAACATATAATACAACTTGATATTGGATTTGTTTTCCCAAGATTTATACTATAATGTTTTGAACTTGTGTACTTGAAGCTTAAATCATGTTGGTAAACAATAATGACAAGAACAAAACGATAAGAAAATACAAATAGGAAATTTATATGACAATAGTGGTAGAAAAATAAATATTCACCGAAGTATCTTAAAGTTTAAGTTGTGAATCACTTATATAATATTTATAAGTTTGATAATATTAAGAAGAGTAATCATTTATTACTTCTAAAATAGTATAAAAAAATTACTAAAAAAGATTTTTTTTTGAATAAATAAATAAATAAATAAAATTTAAATATTTTATCTAAATAAAAGAAAAAATGTAATTATATCCACGTCAAATACCATAAAAATAGAAATAAAGTATTTATTTAGAAAAAAAATCATTTTCTTCATGATAAATATTATACAAAGAGAATAAAATACTTTATAAAAAATATATTAGAGATAAATAAAACTTAAATATTATTATTTTCGGAACTAAAAATAAATGATAGTTGTTGATTTTAGTGTAAGATATGATAAATAAGAATGAAATGAGGAAGAAGCGATGTTACAATAGATGTGGCAAAGCCCACGCCATTCTTAGCTGGAATACCATCAGAAACAGCTTATCACACGGACGGAGGCGATTACCACGCGCTTCCACAATTAATGTCACATTATTCACCAACCTTACTACATTTTAATTTTTAAACATTAACATTCCCACCCTAATTACACAAACGCATCCAACCCAATGCTGGATCAGATTCGTTAAGTAATATTTATGTAACTCTTCTACTAATATAGATAAACACGTAATTTCAGATTTTTTTTTTACTAATAGTACAATTAAATAATAATTTTTTTATAATACACTAATTCTTATTAATTAAAATTAATTAAAAATAATAAAATAGGACATAAAAAAAAAATTGTGTTACTACTTACTGGCCTTTCTTTTTGACCCGACAGATGTTAGTGATAATTAATTTAAAAAAAAAAAAAAAAAACATAACACTTGTCGTCCACCGACAAGGTCTCTCCGGACACATTTTAAGGATCTAATAAGACCGACGCGTTCTCCACTACTCTCTCTCTCTCACTCACTCTCCTCTTCTTAGAATCGGTATCCGAGTCAACTCAGCGGAAGAACCCGCCACAATGCTGGAGCGGTGCCTGGGTCCCCGGCGCGTGCGCCAGATGCAGCGCGCGTGCCGCCACAGCACCGTGACCTTCCTCTGCCTCTTCCTCACGCTGGTCGTGCTCCGCGGCACCATCGGCGCCGGCAAGTTCGGCACGCCGGAGCAGGACTTCAACGAGATCCGGCACCACCTCTCCGCCGCCCGCGCGCGCCGCGTGCTGGAGGAATCGAAGCCCGAATCAAACCCTAACAGCAACGGCGATGCGAACTCCAACAACTACGCCACCTTCGATCTCTCGAAGATCCTGGTGGACGAGCCTCTCCAAAACGACGAAAAGCGCGACCCAAACGCGCCCTACACGCTGGGCCCCAAAATCTCCGACTGGGACGAGCAGCGCCGCCAGTGGCTCCGCGCGAATCCGGACTATCCGAATTTCATCCGGCCCAACAAACCGCGTGTGCTTTTAGTGACCGGTTCGTCGCCCAAACCGTGCGAAAACCCGGTCGGGGACCACTACCTTGTTAAATCGATTAAGAACAAGATTGACTATTGTAGAGTTCATGGGATTGAGGTTTTCTACAACATGGCTCTTTTGGATGCTGAGATGGCAGGGTTTTGGGCCAAGCTTCCTTTGATTCGGAAGCTTCTTTTGTCGCACCCTGAAGTGGAGTTCCTCTGGTGGATGGACAGTGATGCAATGTTCACCGACATGGCGTTTGAGGTGCCATGGGAGAGGTACAAAGATTCTAACTTTGTTATGCATGGTTGGAATGAGATGGTGTATGATGAGAAGAATTGGATTGGTTTGAACACTGGGAGCTTTTTGCTTAGGAATTGTCAATGGTCTTTGGATATTCTTGATGCTTGGGCTCCAATGGGTCCCAAAGGGAAGATTAGGGATGAGGCAGGGAAAGTTCTCACTAGGGAGCTTAAGAATAGGCCTGTTTTTGAGGCTGATGATCAATCTGCTATGGTTTATTTGTTGGCCACTGGGAAGGAGAAATGGGGGGATAAGGTTTACCTTGAGAATGCTTATTACTTGCACGGCTATTGGGGGATTTTGGTGGATCGTTATGAGGAGATGATTGAGAATTATCACCCTGGGCTTGGGGATCATAGGTGGCCTTTGGTCACTCACTTTGTGGGGTGCAAGCCTTGTGGCAAGTTTGGGGATTATCCTGTGGAGAGGTGCTTGAAACAGATGGATAGGGCTTATAATTTTGGGGATAATCAGATTTTGCAGATGTATGGTTTCACTCATAAGTCCCTTGCTAGTCGTAGGGTGAAGAGGGTGAGGAATGATAGTAGTAATCCTATTGAGGTCAAGGATGAGCTTGGATTGCTTCACCCTGCTTTCAAAGCTATCAAGCTACCTTCTTCTTCATGATGGTGATGTCAGGGTTTTAATACTGTGGAGAATTGCAGATAAGCGTGGCTGATGCGTCTGCAATTACGGTCATGGTGAAATCAAAAACCTTGACGTTGCGACTAAAATCGAGGTGAAACTGTATTTTACAAGTTACAAACTTTGGTGATGTTGATGTTGGTTCCTTTTCCTAGTCCATACTATTGCTACTTGATATTCATTCATCTGCTGCCACTATACTATCATTGTTGCGGATGGTGATGATAGTGTTGAAAATTGTAATCTTTAATTTATTTGTTGGGTTATTGAGTTATAGCCATTTTTTTAAAAGAACAAATAGCTTTCTTTCTCTACTGTGTTTTTTCTTCCTGGACTCTCTGATGGTTCATTTTGTGGATAAATTGATTGATGAGGAATTATCGAATTGAGAATAATTCCTTTCTTTATTTTTTGGATGAATTTGTTGTCCTTGCTGTATCTTTGTTCGTGTTGGTTGAAGGGTCGAGGAAGGAATCTCTCGTTGGTAACGGTTTCTTCTAGGTTATAAAATAGAAAATCTCTTGTCACTACTCACTTGTCAGTGAGATTTTTCTACAAATTTGGTTAGAACGAAAAGTTAATAGATAGAGATTTTAAACGTGTCTGTCAAAGATAATCAATTCGATCCACCCTCTAATAGTCTAAGGATTTTATGATTCATAACATTACAGATATTAGATATTGACAGGTTAACTTCCCGAGTTACGTGTGAAAAGATTTGCTCTGGAGAAAGAAAGCTTTCGAAGGAGGCAATGAATCCAATATGTATTGCTATTTCTCACTTTTCCATCATATCTTGAAATACATTCACTCTTGGCACTTGCATGGTTCTATTCAAGTAGGGTTTTTTTTTTTCTTTTCATTTTGGTCTTTTGGTTAATTGTATTTTTTTGTCACATGTTTTACGATGTTTTGAATTTTGTCGTTCTGTTAATTTATTGTTTGATGTTGTAGATAACAATCAACGTTAAATATACTAATTCAAAAGTTGTGTGGTAAAAATTGTAACTGATTTTTGGGTGCAGGGTTTCACGGCATATTTAGTGGCAAACATCGAGTAATATAACATAGCAATTATCATTTCCAAGTTTGAACTGAATAACAATTGGACAGTAGACATTACTTCATATATTCTATTATTCTAGCTTTACTGGCTCGGGTGATAATCAGAGAAAGACCTCACTTTGCTTCATGCATTATTGTATTTGGTGCTTGTATAAAAGTACTCTAATACTAGCATTTTAATCTTTGTAACAAATATTTATATAGACATTCATTTAATTATATATCTCAAAATTATTTTATTACTCCTCTGTTTCACTGGAATTTAAGTCTTTTATTTACAAATTAAGAACAACAATAGATGTGTAATTTTTTTTATACAATTTTATTAAAATAGTCTTACTTTTTAGTAGATACTTTATTTTTAATTGTAGTGATTAAATAATTTATAAAGTGAGAACATCAGCCATTTTAAAATATTTTATAAATGCTAGAATTCTGTAAATTAATATAAGCTTATAAAATACCATCTAATGTGATTTTAAATTTGTGGGTAATAGTGTAATATTTTTAAGACAACGAATTTTGTTAGAATTTAAATTAAAATATGATTTAATTTAAATTTAAAAATAATTGTGTATTCATAATATTAATAATTAATGAAATTCAATTTAAAATTAAAAATAATAATTTTTTTTATAAAATGAAGTATGATTTGATTTAAAATCGAATTTAAAGATTTATAAAATCTTAAAAGAAACAATTGTACTGTCATAATAAGTTCTGTATGAAGACGATTATGTAATGAGATAAGAGAAATAATCTATAAGAATATTTATAATATAAAAGTATATTTGAAAAATAATAGTTTTTCTTTTATTTTCTCCGAAATAATTATTAAGTCTTTTTGTCTTAAAATAAACAAATAAGTTGTGTATGGAGATGATTATGTAATGTGATAAGAGAAATAATATATAAGTGAGTTAAACTGAGAGGGTGAAATTTACAATATAAAACTATACTAGAAAAATAATAGTTTTTCTTTATTTTTTCCAAGATAAATATCAAGTCTTTTTGTCCGAAAATGAGCAAATTTAAATAACAATTAATTGCTTTATTTTTTTTAAATAAAATTTCTATTAACCAAAATTTGGGGGATAAATCTGACAGGTCCATGTGATTTGCCTATTGTGAATTTGTCCCTCGTGTTGTGATGAAGATATATAGTGCTAAACTTTCTCCAATCATCATGTGATTAGTTCATCTAGTATATCTTTCATTTGTTTTTTTTCAAAGCAAGGTTTTTAGTTTTCTCTCTCTTTCTTTTATCACATTAAGGTAAGGTGTTTAGTTTGATGAGTTTTTACATTAAGGTAAAGTTTTTAGTTTGATAAGGAGTGTTAAAACACTATCCAACATATTTTTCTTAACACATCAATTTTTGTTAATTAGAAATTATAAAATTAGAAGAGATAATAATTAAATAAAGTGTACATTTACCAAATTTTGGATTTTTAATAATTTTTAACCAATAAGAGAGAATGTATATAAAAAAGTGTGTCACATGGTTTATTTTGTTAGCATTTCTCTTAGTTTGAGGTATTTGTATAGAAAAAATTATCGATAAAAATAATTAATTTCATCATATATATATATAATAAAAATAATTCATAAATAATTGATAGCAAAATGACTATTTTAGCCATTAGAAGTTTATATTGATAAAATTGGTATAATTTTTTGGTAACCATGTTAATTAGTTTGAAGTATTTATCAGATTTGTTAATCACTAACTTCATTGAGAAACTTAATTGATAACCTTTAGTGAGGTCATCCCTCTCAACCATTTTTTTTCTATACACAATACTCTAATCCGATAACTTACTTAAGAGGATTGTGTTCGATATCACTCGAACCAACAACTTGTTAGTTAAAATTGGTATAAATTCAAGAAATACTTAAGATAAATTTGTTTTTATCATTAATAAAATATAATTTTAAAAAATAAGTATGTGAAATTTCTTTTTAAGATTTAATTTAATTAGTACTATTTTGTTTCAATGATAATTTATAAATATATTATTATACTTAATATCAATCGAAAAGTTTATATATTGTGGCATATAATGGCACAAAGTGAACAACTACTATAAAAAAACACAATTTTTCACCTCATCACCAGAAGAATGGAAATGTGACAACAAATAATGTAACGAGGGATGACATTTATCAAAAATAAAATGTGATGATTAATGGATAGCTCTACAACAAACTCAAATTTCACACAATAACAACATGAGAGAATTACACAAATCATGCTTGTTCTTCCAACAAGGTGAGTATTAACAATCATTTTTGTCGTGCACCAATTGATGATTGTATTTTTTATGACACTTCAATTCTATAATGTTAATATAAAATACTTTGACATCTTGGATAGCTTACTTGGAGGCAAGTAGTCATATTTGTTCATCATTACAAACATTTGAGACCTATAATGAAATCAAAACTATTAAAGTTAGATTGTCAAATGGATACTTTAGTATTTCAAAACTATCATTTACTTGTTATATTCTTTTTTAGCCTTTACTTAAAAAAAGGCCTTATATATATTTTATTTTTCTTTTAACCTAATCTCAGTATTTCATCTATGTAAGACATAGATTTACAATATTATTTTTCACAAATTCAAATGTGTTGTTCAAGGCATTATATCCTAGAGGATGTTTGGTTTGGCTAAACAAATTAAAAGGATTATATAAATTGGTGGCCTCTCCCAAAGAATATGTCATGTACTCTAGTCTTAAAATCAAAATTTGTACGAGAAGTTGGTTTATAACATTTCAGACTAGGACATTTGTTTAATGAAAGATTATGTGGAATGCAAACTCACTGCATTTTATCATAATAGATATAAAGTCCATTTGAGATGTTTACTACTATGATAAACCAAAAATGGTACCATTTTCTTTTTAGTTTGAATAAGGCTTTAAGACCATGTTTCATTTTGATATATAAAGTCCTATCTTAATTCTAATCCTTATGCAGACAAACATCTTTTCATTATTCTTAACAACTATAGTATATATTTGTTGATTATACTGGCAAAACCAAAAATAAAAAATTATATTAAAAAAATTATAAATATGGTAGAAAACCAACATAACACACGTGTTAATGTTGTTAGATCTAATAATGGTCTCAAATTCATGCTTGATGTTTTTTTATATGTTAAGAGAAATTTTGCGGAGACTCCATAGAAAAATGGTAAGGTGGAGAAAAAAAAATCAAAACATATTAGATGTATAGAGAACAACCTTTTTTCGATGAAAACTTCAAAAAACGTTTGGTCTTATGTTGTCATTCATGCCAACTATATAATTAATAAAGTTGTCAAACCAATTTTACAAAATAATCTACCTTACAACCTTTTACACCCCACCAAATTTAACTACTTTTAAAGTCATTGGATCGTTGTGTTTTACTTCCACATGACATTCCCATATATCTAAATTTGAACCTAGGGTAAAAAAATGTATTTTTTTTGGGCTAAAAGGTTGGGATGAATGAACTTACATCTCATTATCAAATAAATATTTTTCTTAAGAGATGTCACTTTCTACAAGACTATCCTACTCCACTACAATACTCATCAAACTAGTAGTTGGATGTATCATTTGAATGAATAACATTATTCAAATTCTAACCAACATATTGGATCAAACACTACATATTCAAAGCCACTATACAACACATATATATATTCTAATGCTAGGAAAAAAACTAATATGTTCGTGTAGTTGTCTATAATCATAACCCTTTGATCAACTATGAAATCAAAAACTTGAATGATCACGAACCATGACTCATTTTTGTACTCATGAGCACAAATAGCTACAACCAAAACTAGTGTGAAAGGTGTGTTAACATTATCCTTAAGGACTTATTCATATGGTGTACAAGTCCCTTGAGATATAACAAACTTATCCCAATAATGGTTGGGGGTAACAAAACTAGTAATATTGTTTTTGTTGAAACCTATAAACTCAAAAGAAAGTGAGAAAGAGAAATGAACATGTGGAAGAGAGTATTAAGAGCAAACCTTTTAAAGTATGAAAATAGTAAGAGTTTCAAAAACTACCTCAATCTTTTAAGTAATGATATGAGACCAAGTCATATAGACACTATTAAAGATAACAAAAGATCTAGTTCTTAGATACACACAAAATTAATTTAAAATAAATTTCTGTTAATTATATAAAAATGACATTTTGAAATATCCAAACAAACTATACAATATAATGCATAAAAAATGCCAAGGAAATCAAAGAGACACATCAACTACCATATCTCTCATATCATGTTTGCGAACTTTAAACTGGTCATACCTTTTTAACCTCCTTAAGTATCACCTACCCCGTATCCATTTTTTCTTCTCTTTTTGAAGCCTATCTTATTCATAATGTCATTTCTCTTTATCTACCACTACACTAACTAATCCTAAGACCTATGCTATTGCTAGCAAGTATGTATGTTGGAACCAAGTCATGCAAGTTGAGTTGGGAGTTCTAAAGAGTAATGGGATATGGAGAATTGTTGTCTATCTCTTAATAAGGTATAGATTTTGAGCAAACACATAATTATGTTGTATCCCTTAACACAAAATGGCCAAATCTTCCTTCGATTAATTAAAAATTGACAATTGTCAGTAATTTTACCATATAACATTTATTGATGTGTGGTTCAACTACTTTTTCTATTGATCTTTTGGGAGGATTCAACATTTTCCCAAGACATATAGATCAAATCAAAGGACTTAGACTTTGTTTTAAACATATGTTCACATGTCGTCAAACTTACAATAGTGAAAATGCTACTTGCATTAGTCACTTTATAAGTGACACAATGATTTTGAGGTGTCAAACGGAAGAATTAGGTAATATTTAAGTTGAATTATAATAAACTGAATAAAAATAATCTATTAATCCATTTAAATTTATTTTTAAATCCAATCCATTTGATTTATTTCTATAAAAAAAATCAACCAATCAATTCATTATCAATTTTTTCATGAATATTCTATCCATCCATAAAAATATGTGTCAATTTTTTTATATTAAAATAAATTTTTAAAAATCTTAATTCAATATACTATTCTTATTATAATATAATGAATTTTTAGAAGTGGTGAATAAATTATTATCCATTCATAAAATTAAATAAATAAAATATATTTAATCCATCATTATTACATTTTATAATAAATAAATTGAATTAAATTTTTTTACGAAGGAATTTAATAAATGTTAAACAAATAGATTGTTTTACGACTTCAACACGAATAGAAAGTGAACATCATTTTGTTGCATGAAGTGAAGTATATATGACAATTCCTCAATAGTGAAAGACATAACCTTGTTTTATTGAATAATCAAATATAATGAATATTAAAGTAAAAAGTAAAAGAAGTTGAAAGTAAAAAAGTGATTAAAATTTAAAAGGAGGCAGCAGCATAAGAGTTAAGAGCAATGAAAAGTGGTTGAAGAAAAGATCTAGTGAGGAGCAATCTAGAGTCTAGAGTGGAGAGCACAAGTTGAATGGAGTGAGGGCCCCACGAGAGTGGAAAGTGGAAAAGCAGCATGCGTATGTGACAGAAAATCCAATAGCTTAAACAGGAAACACCATATACTACCATTCGTTCATTTGACTAGGACTAGAATATAGTAGAGTAAGACACACACTCACTCACCCTCTCCGTCACACCGCCCACGCAAACACACTATAAAACCCCAAACCCCACACAGAAACCTTCTCCTTCCTTCAACTAACTTCTCTCTCTCTCTCTCTCTCTTTGGCGGCTCTCGATTCTCACTCGCCAAAACCCTAGTTCCATTTATTAATTCTAAATTATGTATACTGCAGACACGTAGGTTAATTTCATCATCCACGCACGCCTTATTATATATAAACCATAATTTTATGAAAAAGAGATAATACAACCAAACAAGCGTTGTTGAGGAAGGACCGATAATGGAGGATTCGGGGGCGCAGAAGAGGAACCACCCAGAGTTCGCGTTAGCGTCGGTTTCCGAGCTGTCTTCGCCTCATTCTTCTGCTTCGCCGGGGGTTGCACTCTTCGCCGGTGACCGTATTCAAATTCGGAATGAATCTCACCGTCTCCTTCTCAATGCTTATATTCCAGCTATTCAGGTTCGTTTCGGTTTTGTTTTTTTTTTTTCGCTTAGCAACTGCCACAAAAATATGAATCTCGCTAGATTCTTTGATTTTTTTTTTTGGCGTGTTCACTTAATGACGGAGTATGCGGCAAATGTGACACTCTTTAACACGCTTTTTTTCGCGTACTCTATTGCTCGTTAATTTTTATTTGAAAATTACGAAATTAGGATATTAAAATAATTTGATTTTTAATAAATTTTGGTCGTTAAGTTTTATTTGAAAACTACGAAATCAGGAGATTAAATGCGAAGTGGAATTTTAAAAATAATGTGATTTTTAAAGAATTTCAGTCGATACTAAAGAATGTATTGAAAAGAGGAAGAGTGTGATGCTAACATTTTTCATCTCTGTGTTGATTGAGGTGTATTGAAATATGGTTGTGCATTGTGGTTTACAGCTATTCAGATTAGGTCCTATTGAATCAGTTTGCATGGTGGAAGAGTCTGAGGATGGCAAACAGGTACAAATGCTTTATAACTATTACTAACTCAGCTGGTGTTGTTTCATTCGACTGGCACATTACAAATTCTGTTGATTTTTTTTTTTTTTTTCCTTTTTCGGTGTTTAGAAGATTCGAGCTTCAGAGAATTGGTATTACGGTCCTGCTGCATTCTATGTTCTTTTATGTGTTTTTGTTACTTTTCCTTAAATAATGATGTTTATGTTCTTGTGAGGTGTGCGTGCTGCCTGGTGCATTGTTTCTTTGCTTAATTTGTTGATGTTCTACCATATAGTTATGCCTTTTAACTGTGCTATTTTTGAACCAGACATCATATTCCAGTGGAGTCGCTATACAGTTTAGAAATCAGCAAGAGAGTGCGGACTTAAATTGTGTATTAAACAAATGGAAGAAGGCACTAGATGTTCAAGGTGCTGCTTTGGAAATTTGTGTAAACCTTGTTGTAGAATGGCATTTGGCAAACTGTGTTGATTTTGATTACTTCGGTCATCTTTGGTTTGCAGAATGGCATTTATAAACCAACTGCGTTGTTGATGCATGAAACATAGGATGCAGGGGTTTAGCTGATTTTCTTTGACATATTATTATTTCAAAAATCTTCATCATTCAATTTTTTTTTTTAGATTTCTCAATGGTTAAATGGATATTTAAAGAACTTGCAATGCTAGTTGATACCTGTGAAATGTTGCTTGACAGGTAATGTGTTATAGAGGAACTTAGGATATTATATAATTAATGAAAGAGGTTGTTTCTTATTATAGTACTTCTGATGCTGCATTGGATCTCACTGTAACTAGGTAGAATTGGTTGTTTCATATAACCCTCTTTTATGTTTTTCTTTTTACAGCTAGTACCTAAATTGGTGTTTGGGGTTGGACCATTAAATATTTTCTATTGGTTAAAAGTTTTTCATTTTCAACCTTGTTCATGATCATATATACATACAGTTGTGTATTAATTGTACTTTTCTGTGTTTATTTTGTTTGATCCTAAGTTTCTTTTTACTGCATGCATGCTTACATTGTTTTTTTAATTGGTAATATGTGTTTAATTACATATTTGATTGTTTTGATGCAGGAGGAAGCTTGCCAAATGGAACTATTGCAATAACTTCTAAAAGCAAATTTGATGAAAAGATAGAGTCGTCTTCTGCAAAAATGTATTTTCATTATTATGGACAACTTTTGCATCAGCAAAATATGTTGCAGGACTATGTGAGGACAGGTTACACATAATTGTATTCTAGTGGTCTTTTGTTTAGTTATTTTGTTTTTTTAATTCTACCAGTACCCATATATTTACTGAGGAATTCTTGATGTTTTTGTTTTAGGAACCTATTATGCTGCAGTTATGGAGAATCGTGCAGATTTCATTGGTCGTGTAGTAGTTGATGTTGGTGCTGGTAGTGGTATTTTGTCATTATTTGCTGCCCAGGTAGCTTACCACTTTAATCTTTTAAGTCTATTTGTAGCATAGACCAAGTTTGAGTGCTTCTAACTAAATGAAATTTCTGGATGTCTACCCTGCCCTTCCCTTCCAAAACTTATGTCTCACGATCCAGAATTGGATCCATGACTGGTGCTGAGGACTAAAATATCACAGACTGCTAACCAACATAGAAATGTTTTCAGAAGAAACAAGAAACAAATATCTCAAACAAGTTATACATCAAATTTACTGAACCCCTCTTCTCTCTTAAGTCAAGTCATGTTATATGATTATGATTTCATTTCATCTCACTGGAGGCAGCTCCCTCTTCTCTCCATATATTGATGGGTCCATGTAACAGATAGCCTTTTCCTCCGTGGATATAACTAGGTGCACCTAAACTAATATTTCCACTAATGGCTATAGGATCTAACACAGGTTCCCAAAAAAATGATTCGTAGAAAACCATTCTCAAATTGAATCAAATTCATTTCCAGAGATAAAATTCTCAATTTCATACATTTCATAATTGAATGATGTGATTAAACAAAATCAAAATAATTGCTCATTTCACATTTCACTAATGTAATATTATTACAAGGTTATCAATAAGGTTACACGGCGGATGGCGGCAAGGACCTTTAAGTGCCATATTGCCATGGCGGATGCCATGGCGGTCTATGGCGGACAAAAAAAAAAAAAAATA